TCCGCCTCCGCCGCGCGCCCGCGGGCCCCGAGCGGAGGGGACGGGAGGGGAGGGGAACCAGCTGGGTCGGCCTCTGCAAAAAGTGGCAGGACCTGATGCCGGGGCTTAAATGGAGAGCAAATGTTTTGAGACTGATGAGGGCCATGAATGTACAAATGTGCTTGACACAATTGATGTATGTATGGACTGTGATAGGAGTTGGATGAGCCCCTAATAAAATGATTTTTAAAACAAAGTGGCTGGAGCGCGCTAGACCGAACTCTCACCTGGCTCAGCGATGGCTCCTCCAAGACAGATCCCACCGCGAGGAAGGCTCCAGATCACTGTGCTTCCCCACGTCCTGATCCTCAGGCCAGAGGGCTTTGTAGCTGGCTTGAGAAAGTGGGGGACATTTCAAATCTGCTTTGTGTGCCCCATTGACCTAGGTCTAATGCCTGGGCCAGAGGAAAAGCGCCACCGGGCGACCTGTCAGTAAGTTTACCTTGTGGAAGTGGATGAGAGCGCTATAGAAAAAGAGTGAAAAGAAGAAACACCAGACGCCATGAACGTCTTTTGAAGAGGAACCCTCCAAGCAGAATTGGAGGCGCGAGAGCGTAACAGAGTTCATGAACAGTAGTCCGAAAGGTAGGATGCAAATCCGAGTAAGGCATATGACCTGGAGGCCCAGGACAGGAAGTGGATGGACTCTTGAGTGAACTGGGGAGCCATTGGCGGCTCTCCTGTTGCAGTTTAACAAGATCTCTTTGGTTGGAGTATTGAGAATAGATCATAGATGGGGCAAAAGGGTGAAACGCCTGGGGTTCAGAGACTAGCAATTGACAAGGACTAGAAATAGCTCTCAAGATCTAGAGACTCAGGCTGAGTGAGACCAAACTCCTTCAGATGTGATCCCTGAAGCACCATAGGACTTGCCATCCAGCAGAAAACGGTGATAAAACTTGGACATCAAACAAAAATATAATGAATTTCAACAGAGGCAGACTAGAGCAGGGCAGATGGGGAACTCTGCAAGAAAGTTGCTTTTCTCAGGGAGTTTCGCTTGGGACAAGGGCTTACTAGCAGGCAGGATCAAAGTACCAGAGGCACACACATGTGGACAG